TTGACAACCACAATGAACTAACTAGCAAAGACACAGTTGCAACATGTTCAAAATCCTCACTAAGTGAATGCTATGGAGGGTGTTAACATGCTAGTCAACAAAAGAAGACAAAGAGGTCAACAAAACCAAGGGAATTCGGAGCAATTTGATAATGATTGTGGTGGATTCCAAGATGATGGTTATGATGGGCAGAATGAACAGGTGCAATACGTGAACAATTATCAATGCCAAAGGGGCAATTCTTCCAACCAACAATAATAGAGACCCCAAGACAATTGGGGCAATCAATAACAACAAGGCAATGGTAATTGGGGGAACAACAACCAAAATTCCAACTGGGGCAATCAGAACAATCAGGATAATTGGAATGGGAACAACAACAACTGGGGTGGTAACAACAATCAAGGTGGGTGGAATAATGGCAATCAAGGAAATCGGGGGGCAAGGCTTTCAAAGGTCCCTAATGTACCAACAACCGAACAATCCACCTCTATTTCCATCCTAAGGTCCTAGTTCCTCCAACAACAACATGGGGAGAATTGAAATGATATTTGAACAGATGATGAAAAAGAGTGCGGATTCCGATGCTCAGTTGTCTTCCCACAATACATCAATTAAAAATCTGGAGGTGCAACTAGGACAAATCTCATAGTCCTTGAATACTTACCTAAGGGATCTCTACCAAGTGATACGGTTGTAAACCCGAAAGGTGGGAACAATAATGTCATGGCGGTAACTACAAGGAGTGGATGAGGCGATGATGTGAATGCCTCCAACCAAAAGCATATTTTGAGTGATGAAGTTGAGTTGCAAGAAGATGAAGTTCCTTTGGTGGTTAAAAATGTGATTGATGAGAATGTAAATGGAGAAGTGAGGATTGATATTCATGATGCCGAGGTGGAAAATCAAAATGACGTGAACCCATCTAGGGAACACGTAATAGACATGCCGGATCCAGTTGTGACTAAAGCCAAGGCTCCTTTGCCAAGGCCACCTCCACCTTATCCTCTAAGGCTCGCGAAGCAGAAAAATGAGAATCAGTTTAAAAAGTTCATTGATATGATGAAGAGTTTATCCATCAACGTGTCTTTGGTGGAGGCTCTTGAACAAATGTCGGGCTATGCTAAATTCATGAAGGACTTGGTGACAAAGAAACGATCCATGGATTGTGAAACTATAAAGATGACCCACCAAGTTAGTGCAATAGTGCATTCAATGGCCCCGAAGCTTGAAGATCCCGGTGCTTTCACCATTCCTTGCATCATTAGGAGTGCGGGCTTTGCTAAGGCTCTATGTGATTTGGGGGAAAATATCAACTTGATACTTGTATGCGGCAAATCTGAGGGCCCGGTTTCCCCATCGTAGGGTCGTCTCGTGGTCATACCCATCGAAGCTCAAAGTCAAGGTCGAGACTCATCTTCGGGGGTCATCAAATATCGGCCCGGAGGATATCACATCCCGACAGCTATAGCAGGCTACGCAGGCAAGAGGGGAGTTCCCAAGGCACACAGCTCAATCTGACAAAGCTGGCCTATTCGGGGCCTATTTCAAAATGTCACGTCCGACCATCCTATCTCCATGCCTTCACGGCTAACACGTTTTTTACTATAGCGGATTTCCCTCCTATATAAAGGGGATCCCCACCACTATGTAAGGCCAAGCTGATGTTGCTCCAACCACTTCTCCACAAGATCAATAATATATCTCTCTCTCTCCCTTTTTTCTCTAACTTCCTCGTTCTTATTGGCTCGAGGCCACTTTGTCATTCAATTTTCTCCTACTTGTTCTTCATTTATTACTTGGTATTGGCCATAAATGCCTTGTTTAATCGTATCTTAACTGTTATCCCCTTCTCGAATACCCCCCATAGCTCGAGATCAAGCTCAAGTATCGACTCCGAGGTCCTTTGTCGACCGGTCCGAAGCCAGGGCAGTAAGCCCCTCGGTTTGATTACTACCTTGTTTTAGCTTGCATTTCATCATTAAACTTCATATTCCTAGGATCATTTTCTCTAACAACTAGCATAAAAATAGATCACGTATTTTTAGAATCTCATTTACAAATTTAATTGTTGTTATCATTTTCATGGTAAACAGTTTGGCGCCCACCGTGGGGCTAAAAATAATAGTGATTATTTTCTTGCAAATTCCATCGCAAAAACGCAAGTTATCCTTCACACTTTTTCTTGTCCAAGATCTCTTGATTTTCAGGTCGAAATGTATGGCTCGGAAAATGGGGTTAAGAATGACTACCTCGAAAGCAACAGAGAAAAGTACATGACTGAAGGGAAGGTCCTCCAACATAACATCCACATGATTACTAGGGGAAACACCGCTCCCCAAGGGCCCATGTTCAAACGAACAAGAATGCCCGTTATAGGAGAAGGACCGACCCAAGAATGTATCCCGAAGATAAACTCATATTCAGTGACGAGGACCTCGAGGCTGTAACGAAACCGCATAACGACGCGCTAGTGATCTCTTTCCTCTTAAACAACACTAGAATAAAGTGCGTGCTCGTGGACCTAGGTAGCTCGGCCAACATAATCAGATCGGAAGTAGTAGAGCAGCTGGTGCTGCTCAATCAACTCACTCTCGTCCCTCGAATCCTCCATGGCTTCAACATGATCGGTGAAATAACGAAAGGAGAGATTACCCTCCAGATCAACACGTCTGACGTAATCCAGAATACTATGTTCCAGGTCATAGACGGCGACATGAGATACAACGCCTTACTCGGCCGGCCTTGGATACATAACATGAGGGCGGTGCCCTCAACCTTGCACCAGGTGATAAAGTTTCCCACAAGGGATGGCATCACGACTATACATGGAGAACAGCGGGCAGCACAAGAAATATTCGTGGTCCACCATGAGACGCCAACCCCCACATGCCCAGTCTTGGACGAGGAGGAAAGCGTGCAGACCCCCAAAGACGACGAGGAAGACTTCTTCGCCCCCCGAACTTTCATCGCCCCCTAGGAATCGAATGCGACCAATTCAACAGTCGAAGAACTAAAACAGACCGTTTTGATCAAGCACCTCCCGGATCGCAAGGTATGCCTAGGGACGGGGCTGACCCCCGAACTCAGGACAGGGTTTATTCAATTTCTTAGTAACAATATCGACTATTTTTCCTGGTCCCACCTAGATATGACAGAAATCTCGCCGGAAATAACCTCCCACATGCTAAGTGTTGACCATAAATTCAAACCCATAAAGCAAAAGAGAAGATCGCAGTCCGAGGTAAAACATGCCTTTATCAAAGAGAAGGCAGCAAAACTTCTTAAAATCGGATCCATTAGGGAGGTAAAGTACCCCGAATGGCTTGCTGACGTAGTAGTAGTAGTGCCAAAAAAGGGGAACAAGCTAATAATGTGCATAGATTATAAAAATTTGAATAAAGCATGCCCCAAAGATTTCTTCTTGTTGCCTAATATCAATCGTCTAATCGATGCTACGGTCGGCCACGAGACCTTCACTTTTCTCGACGCCTACTCGGGGTATAATCAAATCCAGATGAACATTGAGGACCAGGAAAAAACCTCATTCATGACGAAGTATTGTACATATTGCTATAACGTATTGCCCTTTGGGCTGAAAACGCGGGAGCAACATACCAGCGCTTAGTTAATAAAATGTTCGAGCATCAGGTAGGCAAATCAATGGAAGTATATATTGATGATATGCTAGTCAAATCCCTGCGCACAGAGGACCATTTGACCCATTTGCAGGAAATTTTCAACATCCTCCGAAGCTATAACATGAAGCTCAACCCCGAGAATTGTGCCTTCGGAGTAGGTTCGGGCAAATTCCTAGGCTTCATGGTTTCAAACAGGGGGATTGAGATCAACCCCGACAAAATAAAAGCCGTCGAAAAGATCACGATGGTGAACAATGTAAAAGTCGTCCAACGACTAACGGGGCGGATAGTGGCCCTGGGCAGATTCATATCAAGATCATCGGACAAAAGCCACCATTTCTTCTCCCTACTCAAAAGGAAGAATAGCTTCGAATGGACTCTAGAATGCCAACACGCCCTAGAAGAACTAAAACGGTACATGACTAGCCCGCCTTTGCTGCAATACACCTAAGGAGGATGAGACATTATACTTATACCTGGTCGTGTCCGAAATAGCGGTAAGCAGCGTACTGGTCCGAGAACATCAAGGTACACAATTTCTTGTTTACTATGTAAGCCGAACCTTAGGGGACGCCGAAACCTAGTATCCCCATCTGGAGAAATTGGATCTCGCACTGATAAGCGTCTCGCTCAAGTTGAAGCCTTACTTTCAGTGTCACCATAACTGCGTTCTGTCAACTTTCCCCTCCAGAGCGTACTGCACAAACCTGAGTTATCGGGTCGATTGGCCAAATGGGTTATTGAGCTCGGAGGGTATGATATCGAGTATCAACCTCGGACGGCCATCAAGTCCCAAATCATAGCAAACTTCATGGCCGATTTCTCACCATCCCTCGTGCCCGAGGTAGAGAAAGAACTTTTATTAAAATTAGGCACGTCCTCCGGGGTATGGACCCTATTCACAGACGGTGCCGCAAATATACGAGGATCCGGGCTCGGCATAGTCCTAAAGCCGCCCATCGGCATCATAATCAGACAATCAATAAAAATTGCTAAACTAACTAACAATGAAGTCGAGTATGAGGCTATGATTGCAGGCTTAGAATTGGCCAAAGGTTTGGGAGCCGAAACCATCGAGGCAAAGTGCGATTCGCTCCTCGTAGTAAGCCAAGTGAACGGAAGCTACGAAGCCCGAGAGGATAGGATACAGAGGTATTTGGAAAAAATCCAAATCACATTACATTGCTTCAAAGAATGGACCTTAGTCCATGTACCTCAAGAGCAAAACAGCGAGGCCTATGCACTCGAAAACCTGGGATCTTTTGCCGAAGAAGAAGACCTACTCCCCGGAGCTGTCGTCTAACTGCTCAAATCTGTAATTGAGGAAGGTCACGCGGAGATCAACTCCACCAGCCTAACATGGGATTGGAGAAACAAATATATTGCCTATCTGAAAGACGGGAAGTTACCCGCAGATCCAAAGTAATCAAGGGCCCTGCGGATCAAAGCAGCTCAGTTTTCACTCGACAAAAATGGGGCTCTGTACAAAAAAGCTTTCGACGGCCCCCGGCGGTATGCTTGGGACCGGCCGTCACAGATTACGTGCTCCAAAAGATCCATGAGGGCATCTGCGGAAATCACTCTGGGGCCGATTCCTTAGTCCGAAAGGTGATTAGAGTGGGCTACTACTGGGAAAGCATGGAAAAAGACACTAGGGAATTCGTTCGGAAATGCGACAAATGTCAGAGGTTTGCTCCCATGATCCACCAGCTCGGCGAGCAACTAAATTTTGTTTTATCACCATGGCCATTCATGAAATAGGGAATGGACATTGTCGGCCCTTTGCTGATAGTGCCAGGTAAGGCTAGATTTATTCTGTTTATGACTGACTACTTTTCAAAATGAGTGGAAGCGCATGCCTTCGAAAAAATAAGAGAGAAGGAAGTCATCAATTTCATATGGGAACACATCATATGCCGGTTCGGAATCCCGTCTGAAATAGCATGCGATAACGGGAGGTAGTTCATCGGGAGCATGGTAGCACAGTTCCTTGAGGACAACAAAATCAAGAGAATCCTGTCAACACTATACCACCCATGTGCAAACGGCCAGGCCGAACCTACAAATAAAACCATCATTCAGAACTTGAAAAAGAAATTGGAGAGCGCCAAGGGAAAATGGAGAGAGACACTGCCCGAGGTGTTGTGGGCATATCGGACCACTTAAAAATCGGGCACCGAGGAAACACCTTTCTCCCTAGTATATGGCGCCGAAGCACTGATACCAGTGTAAGTCGGGGAACCAAGCACCAGATTCCAGCACACTAATGAGGGCTCGAACAATGAGGCCATGACAACAGCCCTCGAGCTGCTTGATGAAAGACGGGAAGCTTTGCTGGTCCGGATGGCCGCCCAGAAGTAGAAAATTAAAAGGTACTACAACAAAAGGACAAATCTCTAATATTTCGGGATCGGGGACTTGGTCCTAAGGAAGGTTACTCTCAATACTCGGAACCCTAATGAAGGGAAGCTGGGCCAAAATTGGGAGGGGCCATACCGTATCCTCGAGGTAGTTGGAAAAGGATCCTATATTCTTGGCACCATGGAGGGAGAACAGCTTCCAAGCAACTGGAATGTATCGATGCTTAAGCGGTATTACTGCTAGGGCGTCCGATTGCAAAATCCCACAAATATCCTCAAGCAAACGTCGCACTCTTTTCCTTCGACCTAGTTTTTTTTTCCCAATACGGGTTTTTTCCGGCAAGGTTTTTAATGAGGCAACGTCCATGCGTTTCCCGAGAGATGACGAATGAATCTCCAATAGGAAATGATGTACCGGACCAAACGATCCAAGGAGCTGTGTCCGCGCAGGCCGATCTCGCAACGATGTAACAATATANCATACTCTCGGCAGGGATCCCTCCACCAAATATGGCCCGAAATACTCGGAGACTTAGCATCAACAATTTGGCACCCGCACGGCCCCAGCGTCGGAACTCCGGGCTCATGAGGCCCTAATAAGGTAACTCCGAGCTCACAAATATCAGCCTTCGATCCTAAACAAACTTGATGACTCAGAGACTGTCGCCAATTGCCTTACACTAGAAAACCCGAGGTCGTAAGACCCCGAGCGGGCAGACTCGGTACAACCAGATCTATACTACATAGCAACAAAAACTGTAAGACCTCAATAGGCATGAAAAAACTATAAGACCTCAACACGCATGAAAAAATTGTAAGACCTCAACAGGCATGAAAATTTTGTAAGACCTTACTATAGGCATAAAACTCAATCCCGAAGGTTAGGCTATACGTCACATTTGTACGAATCCCGAAAGGGCATACCCTCGATATAGATGCCTAAACTATCACTAAGGATCAAAAACGGCTACGTCCGAACACATATGACTACGGTCAATACGGCTGCTCCAGCCAAATTAACGTGATTCGGGGACGCCCGACTGTCGCTAACAAAATCGCAGGCCATTACTTCAAATATACTTCGAAAAGAACCAGTTAAAACAGGCTTCCCTCAATAGGAAAACGAGCTTCGACCATGTCATCTCCAAATCACAAGGCTTCGAGCTACTCAGCCTACGAGCTAAGAACCTTCTGAGGTGCTCAAACATTGCCGCTAACGACTTGAAATTGAGGTTCTTCCAGAACCGACGACGGGTCAGGCAAAATCATTTCAAAAAGGCCTTAACGAGCGAAAACCAAAGCCTACAGAATGCCCAAGGGAAAAAGCGTAAGAGCCACTATCGCCAGCCAAACAAGCCTCCGGGCGACACACTAAAAAGGTCTCAACAACCAATTAGCATAAGAGCCACTGCCGCCAGCTCGAAAATTGAAAACTTGAGGATGAAAAAGAGCTCTAGTCGTAACCTGATTCGGAGATCGGATCCGAAATAGTTAACTATAATATGCATAAGGGCACGGCAGAAATGCCATTGTCGCCAGCCAAACGAGCCTTCGGGCTACACACTTGTAAGGTCACTTCGACCTAAAGCATAAAAAGCTATCGTCATCCGCCCATACGGGCACAAAAAAGCTTGAGGGACAATTGAAGCGAGAGTCGCAACACGACTCGGAGACTGAACCCAAAAACAAGTGAAATAGAAATGCCCAAGATCAAGGGATAAGAACTATCATCGCCTGGCCATGCAGGCACAGGATATTAAAGATCGAGTAGGCTCGAGACAAAACTCGGCCTGGAGACTCAACACAAAACGGTTGGGCAAAAGAGTAAGGACTCTCGCGACAGTTCACACTGAAGGACGCATCAATCAGACGCATGACGACACTCGAGCTGGCTTAAACAGGCCACAAAGCTATATTGCAGGTCTAAAGTCCTTTTGCCAACCCTTGTTGAATTCAGAGCGGAAAGGGGAATAAGGGAAAATGAAGCTGATTCTCTTTATACATATGCCAAAATAAAAAGTACTACATACAAACAAGGAGATCGATAGGAAAAAATAACAAGGGGTCCTTATCTACTGCCGAAACGGCAACCTCAACAGCTCCCCAAGGGTCGCACTAAGGTGATTACGAGCTTCCCGACGGCCCCTTCTCAAACAGCGTTCTCTCTCTCTCTAGGGATATACCTTTATTGTTAACACCACTCGAGTTTCCTTCCAATGTGCCCTCAGTGGCTTGCCTTCAGGAACCCGGCCAGGCACGATCGGTGGCTCGAGGTAAAGCCAGGCCAGCCCCCCCAAACGTCCTCTCAACACAAGAGTCTGCAACAACTGCTCCTCCCCCATGCAAAGATACAAGCACCTCAGCCACAGCCTTGATCCAAACCAATGCAGCCACCAGCTCGGAATGGAGGCTCTTATACTTTTCCACTATCCTCCATCGCGTCCTGGAGCTGACGCTCGATCAAAGTAACTCTCCCCCTAAGGCTGTCCCTCTTGGAGGCCACCTCGCTCACGTGTCGACTAAGCTCGGAGACTTCAGCATCACTAGCCCGAAGCTCCCCTCTTAGCAGGGCGTTCTCCTTCTCAAACTGCACAAAGCAAGGATTGAGGAGATAAAAGCTACAGAATCTCACAATGGCTCAAATGACAATACAAATAGGGGATGAATAACCTGCTTGATAAAATAGGCTTTCTCGCACACCTCATCCTGATACTGGGCGAGAGCTTGGTCATAAAGCACTTTGGCCCGAAACCATATAAAAAGGTTAGGAGAATGAAGGCTGAAGCAGCCCAAAGCAGCGAACGAGGCTAGCAGAAGTTACCCACTCACAAAGTCTGCCCATCTCACCAAAAATGAACGAAGCATCAACCTCGGAACCACCCTCAAGAATGATCGCCAGCCTCTCGAGTGCATCTCCTCTTTTGATCAGTGCTCCTACCGCAGAAGGTTCTATGTGAGATTCGTCAAGCACTTCGTAAGATGGAAGGATCTCCCCCTAAGGAGAATCGACAACAATCAATGGGCTAATAAGGTCAGACAAAGTCTCCATCCCTTGTTCACCCTGGGTCCCAGATCGAGGCCCCTCCGAATTACCTGCCAAGGGCGTCCTAGCTCGAGAGGAACTCCGGCCACCTGCCAATTCGGGGGCAGTGCTCAACACCCCCTCCATTGCCTCACTACCATAAAGCTAGGCCATGCCAGCATTAGGCTCCTGTCCAGAAGCATCCATCCCCCCGGCCCGAGGATCAATCGAGCTCAAATTCTCTTCGGGAGGTGCTGAGAAGCTACTCTCTCCCTCACCTTCAGCACGGGGATTTCTCGTTGCCTTGGAGGTCGGAACCATTGATTCAACCTTGGAGTTTTCCACCTTGACCCTCTTGGGCTCTGGTAGCGTAGGGGGTAGACTCTTCTTCCTTCTCTTCTCCTCGCCAAGAACCAGAACGTCCCCTCTAATGGACGGTGCCTCCCTCATCAGTGGGATTTCTCCCAGACCTACATAGATGCAAAGGTTAAATGCACAGGATGGAAAATGCTACTAACGACAAACTACATCAAAACGCTCAGACAAATCGAGGCTCGCCATGGTCTTTGGCTTCCCACTGAGCTTGGGATAAATCTCCCCATGCTCGATCGATATACGTGTAGATTGAGTACAAACGACCAACCCAACCATGGAGATCCGACACTACACAGGGGTAAATCGCTGCGGCTGAAAAGACAAGAAAAGCAGAGTTAGACGCATAGAGAGAAATTGCCAAAAAAGGGCAAAGACAACACGTTTACTTACACCCGACGTTCCACTTCTCAGGGAACGACATCTTTTCCACTGGGATCAGGTCAGATGTCCTCACTCGGACGAATAGGCATAACCATTCGTCGCCCCTAAACTCCTTGATGCAGGCAAAAAGGGATCTCGAGGCTCGACAATGAAGCTTGATTAAGCCCCCGCAAAGAAAACGGGGACTATACATCCGGATCATATGGTTTAGCGTAAAAGGCATTCCCTCTATCATGCTCGAGTAATGCCTGATCATACGAACCACACGCTAGAACAAAGGATGAACTTGACCTAGAGTTACCTGATAACTCTGGCAGAAGTCGAGAATCACAAGGTCGATCCGGGGCGAAGATGGCCCCACCGGCTCCAAGGTGAATATGTAGGTATACACGTTGAGAAAGCTGGCTTTATAAGACGAAATATCTTCCTCCCAAGCAAAAATCTCCATGAGCAAATTATCCACCTAGCAACAGTTGGCCCTCACTCTTTCAATGTCCATTATAGAGCTGATATACCGAGTTACAGGCTCGTGGTGCCCTCATCTCGAGGAAGGTCTTTCGACCCTAAAATTGGAGGTCATCACAAAGGATCCTGGGACGCACTCCTCGACACAAGGGGGAGTA